TGTATTTTTCGGATAATATGTGTGTTAGATCCGAGTTTGTTAGATCCTGTGTTGGTTAGATCCTGTGTTTGTCAGATCCGGCCTGTGTTTGTCAGATCCTGTGTTTGTCAGATCCTGTGTTTGTTAGATCCTGTGTTTGTCAGATCCTGTGTTTGTTAGTTTCTGCGCTTGTCAGATTGTATTCTGTCACAAAAACTTACATTCACACCCAGTAAAGAATGCGTTTAAAGTCTTTTCAGATCTTTCAGATTTCGGGAGACAGAAAAAGTTTCTTAAAACTCACTTTTTTGATTTGAAAAAAAGTAAATTTGTCTGGTTTTAGGTCTCGACATTTCCGACCTATTTTTTTTATCTTGATGCTTGTTCGGTATTTTTTTCCATGATGGCGAATTTAGTTTAGTAGTATAGAGGTTATCTAAACCTTTAATCTGTCCCACGGTTCTATCTTGGCCAATATACGTAACATTAGAACAAATGGGAAAAAGAAACTGTCGCCATAGAGTGTTGAGAAAAAGGGATGGGAGGGTAGAAAAGACAATCTGACTACCGTTTCCTTGTGTGTAAATTAGTGAGATTGCGTCTACCTATAATCTATCTCTTTCAAAACTATCAAATTTTTTAGACATGCATACTATGGGAGTTCGATTTTCAATGAATTTTCGAAATCTAAATTGCTTTAATCGGATTTGTAAAAAAGCATAAAATTCGAAAGAAAAAAGTCTGTAAAGTCAATCTTAGTGTTATTTTATCAGAAAAAAATAATATCAAAACATGCTGAAAACGTGTATCTAAAGATCCGTCTAAGACCGTTGATTAACCTTTTTTAAGTTTTCAATATTTTCAAATTTGTTGAGTTGATACTCAAAAACGGTTTATTTTAGACTATGACAATTTTTCAGTCAAAAAACCCGTTTCTTGCAAATAACTTTTTTGCGATTTTTAGGAGAACAGCGTTTTTAATTCTTCTTACAAGGCGAATCTGTTTTATCCAAAAAGTTATATTTTTGTAATGATGCTTTACTCCATAAACTTTAACTCTAATCGTGCTCTAAACTCAAAACTCTGCACTTTAAAGTAATTCTCATAACCAAGTTAGATGTCGCTGCAACTATTTCCAACTGATTTTATTTCGGTCGAACAGTTAAAGGTATATGGGTCAGATTGTTAGCTACTAACAAAAGCATTATTAGCACTCAGAATACAAAGATATAGTACGGATAATTACAGTATTTATTACATTTAACCCAAAAAATGTGGCTTCCTTTAGTGAGTTGATCAAATTTCGTCTGCGCAATATTAGCTTGGAAGAAAAAGTGTTTTTAAAAACATTTTCATATCTATGTTTATATGTACGCTATTCAGGGTGAAGCAAGTGGGTATTTCAAAAATCGATATTCTGAGCTGAAAACTTTAGAATGAGAAATCCTTAATTGCACGATCGCTTAATCTGAGTATCCAATTTGATTTTCTTCTTAGAATCCTCATTTGGATAGTTACGTTTGATAACAATTACAGATACAATGCTATATCAATTAGAATAATATCCGATTGAATTAAAGTCAGCTGTCCACAAGCCGGCTTTTAGATATAAATTTAATCATGTTAATATGAAATTATTTAAAAAAAAACATTTTAGGACTATTGTCATTTTTAACGTTGTTCTTAATAAACATTTTTTTTCAAAACTAACGTTCGTTCAATCAATGTTTAGTTCAATTGATATGACACTATCAACACCAGGAATGAAAACCGGTTTTTCAAAAGTTCTTAACATGACACGCTGATTGGTTAAATTTTTAACTTCTTTCTTGGATATCGAATGTGTATTAAAATAATCTCGGGTTTAGTAAAACCAGGAGTTTAAGCATCAATCTTGATATCCATCATTCTAAAGTTTTCAGCTCTGTAAACATATATTCAATTATGGGTGTTGTCCACAGTAATAAAACGCCCAATACCTTAGCGAAAGACGGAGTCTAAATAGTTAGTTTCAGGAAAAAACGAAGCGCTTTAAGGGACGGGAAAAAATTATATTTTCAAATATTAACATGTGACACATAATTCATCGTCCATTTTCAAGGTCTTTTTAAAAAACTAATTTCAGACGTAAAGCTCGATTAATGAAAAAGTTTTGGCCTTTTTTAAAAAGATTTTAAACATCGACCAGCCGCTTGAATGTTTTATAAGATGCAAAAAAAATTGGAAATTTGGAAAATTTGAAAAACTGAAGAAGTTTTAGCGCTCTAGTGAAAGCCGTTTTAGGTTATGAAGAAAAAAGCACAACGAGGGGTTGACCCCCACCCTCCTCCTGATATGGTTAAAAAAAATTATTGGATCATAAGGATGTCCCATTCACAGGGATTTAAAAAGTTACATCAATTTTTAAGACTAAATTTTTGCAACTTATTTATAACTATTAAAAAGCATTTGTTGGAGCTTATTTTTCAGGAGGTTATTCATAAATAAAGATAGATTGCGCATGACGACATTTTACATCTTGAAAGATATAAATGTACAGAGATGTTTTTAAAGATATTCCTATTATATAGATTAACTAGGTCGGTTGTGAACAAATTGGCTGTTATGTCATTGAGTACTTGTGTTGTACATGAGTTCTGTAGAGAGAAATTTATGTTAGTTTAGTCCTTCTTCTGTTCTTCTTCAGCCTCGTCAATATGATATATTGCTCAGTGAAATAGTGGTGTTCAGATAGTTCCATTCCCGGAGTTATTTTACACTATTATGAAATCCATTAAAACACCAAACAACCCTGTTTATCATTGAAGTACACTTTGACCATAAAAGTATGAGTTCGCGGACTGTACAATTATCTTAGTGATTTTGCGTACATAAGCTATCTATGTTTATTTTTTCATCTAGGAGGTTATTGCTAAACTCTAATCATCAAAATTGACGGAGATATTGCAAAATTTTTACAAATTGTAATTTTTTTAAGAAATCAATACTATCTAAATATCTAATACCTTCGTCAATTTTTAAGACGTACTGCTTCACTTTTCTACTTTATTTGCCATGCATTAAATATCATCTCTCAATTCCAATGTTTTTTGGGACACCCTGTAATAACACTGATTCCCTTTGGTCCCTGATCCCGTCCTCATTGCAAAGACGTCGGATTACATCCCTTGCATAATACCTTAGAATCACTGCAGGACCTTAACAACCAAGAGAAGGCTTACAAAGATCATATTTGAACTTAGATTGCTGTCTTATGATTAAAAAGGTTGTACGACAACGAAAGCTTTTCAAACAATTGCATATCCTTAACTTTGATAATTTCATTTTCTTGATCTGAATGAATTTCTTCGTAAAACAAGTTTAAAAAAACTCCTGTATTACACAGGCACATTTTGATGTGCTGCGCATGCTGTTTACTGCATAGCTGAGGCTCTGTCTGCTTAGCAAATCTGGAAGGCTCGTGTCTGCATAGCGGAGGCTCATGGCGTCCCATCCGCACGATTTTGATTTATTTCGATTTATTTCCAAAAGTTTTATAAAAACATACAATGAGGTAAAAATAACTGACAATTTTACAGAAAATACATTAAAATAAGGAACCTGGTCTATTCTAAACATCAAATAATAATTATATTAAATTACAACGAATAAGCATAAAATTCCCCTACATCCCGCAAAAGCGGAATTTAGAAAAATTACCAAAAGAAAAACTGAATGTATATTGTATACAAAAATGTGTGGAGTTAAAAAATAAGCATATTAAACATTTTTGTTAAGAAAACTATAGAATGGTTTATGGATAAAAGTGTAATTGTGATGTTTACTTTGGTTTCTTTGTCTTTCTACTTTTTTGATTACTGTTTACTATTGAATTGTAAAGATACAGCCTTTGCAATGCAGTTCGGTTTCTTAATAAGTATTATTGTTAAAATAGAAAATAATTAAAAAACCGAATTTTGTCTTTTCCTGCTGAGGTATGATTAAGTTACTATTGCTATTATCATCTAGGGTTTGGGAAATTGTCTTTTATTCAGTTTCAGAATAGTCTCATAATTCAGAATCAAATGCATGTTGAAAAATTAAAAAAAAAAAGTTTGATGATTATTTTACAAAATGAGTGGCATATTTGTGACACCCATGCGAGGTATATTCCTGTACACATCAAATACAAAACTCTAAATTTTTGATAAAATTCACAATATTCTTTAGGAATACTAGATATACACCGGTTTGTGACGTAAATGTAAATTCAGTTGAAAAATGTGAAATTTGGATTTTCACCCATTTTTGTACTTTTTAAAAGTTGGGATCTAAAGAGATTTAAATATAAATTTTCTAAAAACAAAATGGGTTCATGCTAAAACTTCATTCCCTACAGGGTTTCCATCAACGGATGAGACTTCAAAGACGACTTATGGAATTTTAATTTCAATTGTGGTTTCCTGAAACTCTATTCCTTTGTATGTTTACTCATTTAGTTTTTTTTAGGGCAAAGACAAGATAAACGTTATTGAAGTCTCCTACTTTGTTGGAAGTCCTGCAGATTGTTCTCTGAGATTCAAGGACGACATTTGGAGCCGGAGATATCGTCTTTGTATTAGAAGGAAGACTTGTCGAATATTCCAGAGCTGTTTGCTGAGCTCCCTGAGCTGTCATGGCTGAGGTTCATGGATGAATCTGAGAGATCTGACCGGCGTGGTGCTGAACGTGTGCTGGATGACGGTGAAGGTGTCGGCGCATGCGGACTCAATCCGTATTCTGCAAAATATGGATGGGCGAGGGCTTCCGCTGCTGTTACACGCTTCTTTGGGTCAAAATGCAACATTTTCTAAAACAGAAAATTTAAAATTTAACATACAATATGTTTTATTCCTAATAATACATCATTTATAAGTTCTTACAGGGACAAAGTCATTTTGTTGATTCTCCGTTTAAACACTCCTGTATCTATATAGTTACACACCCCTGTATCTATGGCGTCTTTTTCTTTCTTCATAAAGGAGATAAATTTTCAGTAAATTTCTTGTCACAGCAAGTCACTTCTATTAAATAGAATGTTTTAATACTGTTACTCAGATGTAGGTTAAACGATAAACTGAAATTACGCTACATTCCCTTTTACCATAAGAAAATTATTAAATAATATTTCTAAAACTTTGAAAACAAACCTCCAAAAGATCCTTGGCCTCTAAATCTAGTTCCGGAATAAGATCCTGGAGGTCTCTAGGCCTGGAGTAGGAGAATGAGTTACGGAGGACGGAGCTGTCCTCAGGCCACTCGGTTTCACTAGGAGTACCCAGGATACTGAAGATCTTCGCCAGCTGGTCAACCTATAACAATAAAGAGGTCAGGTGGTCAAACAAACAACAATATAGAGGTCAGGTGGTCAACCTACAACAATATAGAGGTAAGGTGGTCAACCTAAAACAATATGTAGGTCAGGTGGTCAACTTACAACAATATAGAGGTCAGGTGGTCAACCGACAACAATATATAGGTCAGGTGGTCAACCCACGACAATATATAGGTCAGGTGGTCAACCTACAACAGTAAAAAGGTCAGGTGGTGAACCCACGACAATATATAGGTCAGGTGGTCAACCTACAATAAAAAAGGTCAGGTGGTCAACCTACAACAATATATAGGTCAGGTGGTCAACCTACAACAATATAGGGGTCAGTTGGTCAACCAACAACAATAAAGAGGTTAGGGAGTCAACCTACAACAATATAGAGGTAAGGTGGTCAACCTACACCAATAAAGAGGTTAGGTGGTCAACCTACGACAATATAGAGGTCAAGTGGTCAACCTACAACAATAAAGAGGCCAGGTGGTCAACTTACACAAAAAAAAAACATTGTTGAACATTATTTTAATTAATCATTGAAGCAAATTTTAAACAAGGCAAAATAATAGAAACGTAGATTTCAGAAGAAGACAACAATTTTAAATATAAAAGCATAAAACATTTAGCTACCTCATATTGCCCAGGGAAGAGAGGTTTTCTAGTAAATAATTCAGCAAATATACAACCACAGCTCCAGATATCTACTGGAGTAGCATAGCTAGTTCCCAGCAGTAAGATAGATAGATAAAAAGGTTTCAGTATTTGAAGAAACCAATGAATTGAAGGAACGTGGCAATCCCTACTTTAACCCTTTTATCTTTCTTTCTATCATTCACATTCTGACAGTGCATCTAGCTATCTATCTAATCGTTTTTATCTATCTGGCACTATCTATCTATCTTTCTGTCTGTCTATCTATCTAAGAAAATACATCTGTACAATAAATCTATCTATAAATCTTTCTATCTATCTTTCTCTCTATCTAACAACATATCTAACATATCTATATCTATCTGTCTATCTAATCATTCATCTATTTATCAATCGTATATCCACTAAACTATCTACCTTCAGAAATATATCTATCTCTTCATCTACATATATATATAGATCTATCTGTATTTCTATCTATGTCTTGATTAACTCCAAAGTATGTTTAACTGTCTGTATATTCTACCGATAAAGAAGATATTTAAGATATGTCAGAGTTCTAAAAAAGTTTGTTATTTAAGAAATTATCTTCAAGATGTTTGATTTATCTTAAACTCAGACAATACAAAACACAAAAAATAAACAAACTCAATTCTTGAAATATTAAACACAGAAACATTTCATATCTCAAGCATGACTATATAAACATGAACACATCTCTTAATATCTCCAAGATGTATGAGAACACACATAAACAAAACTCTTGATATCTCCATGATGCATAAGAACACACAGAAACAAAACTCTTGATATCTCCATGATGCATAAGAACACACAGAAACAAATCTCTTAATATCTCCATGATGCATAAGAACACACAGAAACAAATCTCTTAATATCTCCAAGATGCATGAGAACACACATAAACAAAACTCTTCATATCTTCATGATGCATAAGAACACACAGAAACAAATCTCTTGATATCTCCAAGATGCATGAGAACACTCATAAACAAAACTCTTAATATCTCCATGATGCATGAGAACACACATAAACAAATCTCTTAATATCTCTATGATGCATTCGAACACACAGAAACACATCTCTTAATATCTCCATGATGCATGAGAATACACAGAAACAAAACTCATAATATCTCCAAGATGCATGAGAACACACAGAAACAAATCTCTTAATATCTCCATGATGCATGAGAATACACAGAAACGAAACTCATAATATCTCCAAGATGCATGAGAACACACAGAAACAAATCTCTTAATATCTCCATGATGCATGAGAACACACAGAAACAAAACTCTTGATATCTCCATGATGTATAAGAACACACAGAAACAAAAATCTTGATATCTCCATGATGCATAAGAACACACAGAAACACATCTCTTAATATCTCCCTGATGCATGAGAACACACAGAAACAAAACTCTTGATATCTCCATGATGCATAAGAACACACAGAAACAAAAATCTTGATATCTCCATGATGCATAAGAACACACAGAAACACATCTCTTAATATCTCC